CATGCTATCTGTAGAAGCTATCTGTGACATTAAAGCACACTAAGTTCTCATAAATAACGAAGCATTATCACCTAATGTTTAAGTACTTATCATATGCCAAACACTGTGCTAAAATCTTTAGACATAGATTCTTATTAACCCTATCACTACCCTATGAATTAGATACTATTATCCCCATTTTACAGATGAAAAAAAGGAGACTCAGAGAGACACCAAAGTCCACATTGAGTGGTAATTTCCACCTTTGTTACTTGCAGCCATTACCATGCTGCAGGACCCGTGAGGCAATATGGCAAACTAGGACACTGGGTTGGAAGCCAGAGAGTTCACATTCAGCTCCTATTCTGCCATACATTCTGTCATCTTGGCCAAGTCACTTGGTTTTTCTGAACTTTGATGCCCTTATGTGTAAAAGCATCTGCTTTTTCTATCCCACAGGGTTTTTTAAAAGGATCTACCAAGACAATATGTCCCTTGCAAACTGTAAAGCTTTATACCTATATAGTCAATCCACCAGGAATACACAGGACTGCAAATAACAGGATACCTGATCAGTGGTTTCAACAAATACTGTTTTTCTGGGGTTTTTTTTTTCATAAAGCCAGAAGTCTGGGGAGAGGTTTCTGGCATTGTCAGTTATTCAATGATACCAATAAAATCTCTTTCTAACTGGCTTATCATCCTTGTGCCTGTCACTTCATGGTCATAAGTTGGCTCTCCTAACTCCAGATTTCACATTTACACTAAAGAAAGGCAAACAAGACAGAGGAAGCCATATCTACCCCCTCTTACCAAGAAAGCAATAGCTTCCCCAGAAACTGCACTGGCATATTCTGCTGATGTCTCACCAGTCAGAAATGTCTCACCTGGCAACTCCTAATTGCAAAGAAGGCTGGGGAAATGAGCGGTATTTTACTTTCTCAGCCTCCATAGTGAAAGTAGGCAAAGAAAAAGGGGGTTGAGAATGGATGTTTGTCAGCCATCTTACAATGTCTGCCTCAATTAGTATTATAAAACCAAATTCGGGTTCTCTGTATGTTTCACTATAAACCCAAGACTCTAAAATATGCTTTATTATTACAAAAATCATCAGTACAATTGTAAAGTACCTCATAATGTATATGTTTTGAAATATTTTTATGTTCTTCACTCTAATAAACACATCTAACTTAATTATTCAAATAAAGGAATTAATTTACAGCAATTTTTGCAGAAATCCAGAGAGAAAGAAGAGATGTGGTGAGAAAAACTGTTCCAACTACTACAAGAAGACCACCCAGTGGACCACGGGGCAACCCGGGCCCTGGAAGACTGAATGAAACCAGACCCAGTGTTCAAGACGACTCAGAACCCTTCAATCCTGATAATCCTTACCACGTGCGTACTGCTGTTTTCATGAAATGCTCAGACCAATGCATTAAACATAGTATTGAAATGGTGTTTCT